CGGTAAACTAAGCTTCTTTTTTATTCGTTTAACAAAACTCAAATTGAATTCAGCTGGACACACTTTCCTGTTTATCACAACAAATGGCCAAGCAAAGCGCATGACACTGACAAGGTACGCGATACAGTACGAGACCAAAAATGCAATTTTTTTCAAAAATTTATTTCAAAAATTATATATATATTCAATAATTAATATTTTAAAAATGATTTCAAAAATTTGCAAACGATGCAAACTGCTAACATGACACTTAGTTTAAACTTGATTATGGTTGCTCATTTTTTAATTCAATTAGGCTGACCGCGCAATACACAGCGATATGGATTAGAAGAGTATTCACTTATCTTAGATGTTGATTTCGCTGTTCTGAAGCAAGCTGCAACTGGCTACAGCAAGCACTAGTCATATATTTGAATGTTGAGCAGCGAGCTCATTGGCTACCGATACAGGAGAGAACCAATCAGCTGTGCCATGTGATGATGTCATTAGGTCAGACCTATCGGACTGCGCCATCTAGAGTTTCATTCCAGAACTCTGTATTTAATTCAGATGGAAGCCAAGCTTCACTGAAACAAAACAAAACATCAAAACAAACACAAAAACATCATGGTCATTTTTTTTTCTCTGAGGGGTTTTCAAACCTGTTCTGGAGGACCCCATGCACTGCACATTTTGTATGTCTCCCTTATTCTTATCTGACACAATTAAGGTCTTGCAATCACTACTAATTTTGTCATTTAAAACTCCTTCCACACACAGAACACAAAATAGGGTCTCACAAGCACGACTTTGCAGATGCATCTCTAAGTGTGACGGCAGTATAAATTTTACAAATGAAACCTCATATGACTGTTAAAGTTTCCTTTAAATCGGAAACTGTTTCCACAATGATGGCAGGTGAATGGCTTCTCTCTAGAGTGAACTCTCATGTGAGTCTCAAGGTTTACTTTAACGGTGAAACTCTTTCCACACTGTTTGCAGGTGAAAGGTTTCTCTCCAGTGTGAACTCTAATGTGATTCTTAAGGTATGCTTGCTTTGCGAAACTCTTTCCACAGTGATGGCACATGTTAGGCTCCTCTCCAGTGTGACTCGTTACATGAATCTTAAGATCATTTCTGTCTGTAAATCTCCTTCCACACTGATGACATATAAAACAGTTTTCCCTTGAGTGAATATTCATGTGGCAATTAAGTGATTCTTTACATCTGAAACTCTTTCCACACTGATCACATATAAAGGGTTTCTCTCCAGTGTGACTTCTTATGTGAATCTTAAGATTTCCTTTTAATGAGAAACTCTTCCCACACACTTTGCAGTTGTAAGGTCTCTCTCCAGTGTGAATTCTCATGTGAGTATCAAGGGCTCCTTTACGACTGAAACTCTTTCCACACTGATCACATGTGAACGACTTCTCTCCAGTGTGAACTTTCAAGTGAGTGTTCAGATTTACTTTTTGAGAGAAACTCTTTCCACACTGTTTGCAGGTGAAAGGCCTCTCTTCTGTGTGAACTCTCATGTGAGCTTTAAGGTATTTATTGAATTGGAAAGTCTTTCCACACTGGTGGCACATGAAAGGTTTCTCTACGGAGTGACTTATTACATGCATTTGAAGGCATTTCATGTCTGAGAAACTCTTTCCACACTGATCACATATAAACATCTTCTCTCCAGCGTGAACACTCTTGTGGATTTCAAGGTTTTGTTTTCGTGTTCGATTAGAACTGTTAGGTTTGGTCTTCTGAGCTCTTTTTCGTGAGGAAATCTTTTCAGTCTGTCTGGGTTTTTCACCCGTCATGAAATCAAGGCGCATCTCACACTGATTTTTCTCTTCAACTTCATTGAGTTCTTGACTTTCCTTTTTCAGCAGCATCAGGTCTAAGGGGGAAAAAAAGAGACAAATACATATTAACCCCAGTGTCACAATTTCACCTGTCTATGCAGGCCTGATGAATGATGCTGAACAGATTTGGCTGTGTCAGTGCGTAAGTATTGGACAGAGGGGAGAATGGGGCTTCATTGGCTCTGACAAAATAAGCTGCTGCTGCAATGGAGAAAATAAAGTTTGAGAAAGGAGACAAGGTAGCAGGAGGGAATAAAGATTGAGGGTGTATTCACACCAGGAAAGTCTGCTAGTTCACTTGCTTTGGCAAATACAATGTTGATTTTTTTTGGTTTGGTGCGGTTCGCTTTCACACTGCCCTTTTTGCAAGTGAACCAGAAACTGTAAACAAAACCAAACGTGTGCTTAAGGTCATCCATTCATTGGCTCATCCATTCAACCGTACCAGAGTTCGTTTGGAAGCGGACCGAGACCACCTCTTCAGCTGGGTCTCGGTGTGATTTGTTTGGTCCGCACCCGAGTGCGATTGTTGTATTCACACCTGCCCAAAAGATCTGCACCAAAAAGGGGAAGCGAACTTGAGTTCGATTCAATCAAACCAAACAAGACAGGTGTGAATACACCCTGAACTACAATAAAGTAAATGGATTAAAGGGGTCATATGATGCGATTTCATTTTTTCCTTTCTCTTTGGAGTGTTACAAGCTCTTGGTGCATAAAGAAGATCTGCAAATTTGCAAAGACTAAAGTCTCAAATCCAAAGAGATATTCTTTATAAAAGTTAAGATGTACAGTATGTGGAAAATAATGTGGTTTTTTTACTTTAAACCGCATAAACACATTTCATTACACCAAATACACAAAATAATGTTCTTTTTAGCAGCATCATATGACCCCTTTAAAACAATGAATTACGCAGTGAATGAGTTTGGTCTATTGAATAAATACACCAAGGCCCTGTCTACACCTGGAATTAAGAACTGAATGATAAGTAGATGAGAGAGACACATTTCCATTTGCATCTCCACAACATTATGAAAAATACCAATGTATTTGAAAAATACAACTTCAAGAAAACGTTAAGATTTGCACGTTTCCTTTTTAAAACAAGCCTACTTTGTCAGTGACGTGCCGAGTCAGGTAATTATATTTACACTGCGATAAATAAGTAGCCTATGCCTACCGGTTTCCACTAAATTAGCCTATAAACATCCTAAAAGATGTTCACCTTATCAGCAAAACTGCATAAATGTAATTTGATTTGAATTTAAAACAGGGGCCACCAAACTCGGTCCTGGAGGGCCTAGCTCCAACCCTAATTAAACACACCTGAACCAGTTAATCAAGGTCTTACTAGGAATACTTGAAACTTCCAGGCAGGTGTGTTGAGACAGGTTGGAGCTAAACCCTGCAGGACACTGGCTCTCCAGGACCGAGTCTGGTGACCTTTGGTTTAAAACAATTAAAATACTATTTGGCTAGTGGAAAAGAATGAGATCAACTCTATTCTAAAATCTTTATCTGGTAAGTATTTTAAACAATTTTGTTTTTGTGGATATTTTAATATATTCTAATACATAACAAGGATATTGGATGATTTTTAGCAATGTAATTTGTATTGCACAAATGGCATTTATGGTCCACTTCTCATATTTCCTTAACTCTTTCCCCGCCATTGACGTTATTTATTTTTATGAAACCTACCTATATTCAAGTGTTGATAAAGAAAAAGAATGCTTTAAGCTAGAATAAAACTTAAAAGTAGAGGCTCTGATCTTTATTTTGGTGTATTGCATATTCAAATATTCATACAGCAAAATATTCTGGAGGCCATCAAATTTTAGTGAAAATCATCAAAATCGCTGGCGGTGGCTGGCAACTTTTTTCAAAAATGCTGGCGGGGAAAGAGTTAATGTCTTGTACCTTTGACGGTGTTAAACAGGGTGTCGTGTGGATGGGAATATGCATGGAAATTATATGCAGATGAGGTTATGCATAGTAAAACTAGGCGTTGTAAGCTCCATATATGGTGATTGAATATTACCCAGATGTAGTTTTTGATAAAAATTTGATTTTCTCACCATCGTGTGGATGGGAATATGCATGGAAATTATATGCAGATGAGGTTATGCATAGTAAAACTAGGCGTTGTAAGCTCCATATATGGTGATTTCGGGGAGGAGACGGGGTGGAGATGCACGTACGCACAATCTTCCCCTGGCTGGCATTTATAAAGGGATTTTTGCGCAGGTTCTGGCGTAAAAGTCTAGCTTTTGTGCGTACATACAATTTTAAGATGAAATCTAAGAGAAGAGTTTTATAAATGAGACTCCTTGTGTTTTAATTTGTCTCTTTTGGCCACTTTCAACCCCTTCTGTCCTGATTTCTTTGACGGGAGGGTCTATGGGTGGGTAAATGTATGGCCATTTTCAGAACTTTTTTGTTTTAATGGTTGAAATAAGCATACATATGAATGCGGCCAGAGATGACGGAAAAACATATGAAGAACAGCAGCTTTCATTTCTGCTCTAACAGCTGTAAGACCACACCGAAAGCAGTGAGTGCTTGTTAGAAATCAGGATTTGTGAGAACATTGTGTTTGGTACATTTTCATGTTTAAACTAAACTTGGGTCTTCAGCTGACAAAGTTTAAATCTGGCAAGCGTGTTTTCCAAAATGTTTGTGCTGCATTAGGTTAGTAGGCAGATAGTAGCCGTCTTTTCTGGATGTTTGATCATTTGACAACATGAGCGTCTACACTTTAAAAGCAATTCAGTCAAATGTTTTTTTTTCGACTACCTCTGGAAGTGGTTGAATGCTCAAGAACATTTTAGACTCTGTTCACACCTGTATTTAGTGTCATCCACTTGTGATCCAATCAACTAAAATGCATCTTAATATCATGTGTAAACAGAGCCCAAGGCTCCTGAATCGGTGATCTTGTTCATGATTGAGATTTTGCCAATTGACTTTTGCAACCTACGGGAATAAATATGTAAATATGTAACAAATCTTTTTGGTAATCAGATTCAAAAGTCTTGAATAAATCAATTTCCACCACTTTATTTGATTGTAATTTCAGTAATAACTGAAACAGGTCAGAATGAGACCCTACCATTCAGATGCAAGTCAGTGCCACTACCAGAACTTTTCTGGTGAATCTGGTTCAGTTAACAAATCTTCAAACTGCGAAATTGACAATTTTAACAAAATAAGACAGACCCTAATAAAACTACTTCACATAGAGCAGGGTGATAAACTATATCATATCGAGGTCATGATAAAATTTGTTGTTAATGATAGACTGCAGGGAGCCGGCAAGGGAAACAAAAGTGTAAGAAATTGTGTGTTACCCTCCAAAGCTGAAGAAATTGTTGAAATAAGGTAACACAACGTCAATTATATGCAAGTGGTTTGTGTTTCTTAAAAGTGATGAAGTGCAGATCAAGGGCAGGTTCAAAAAGAATGTTTTTGTGGTTTAAAAGATTAGATGAATTTCAGAAGGGAAAAAAATAAGTTCTTGGGATGCATTTTGTTTTTAAAGTTTAACTTTTAACTTGACCGTCACATTTTTAGAAAGCTGTATCAAGCATGACAGTTAACGGAAACTAGAGATTATGGTTTATAAGGTTTTAAATAGGGATATTTTTCTGCAAAAATGCATCAATTCGCTTCAGAAGGCCTTTATTAACCCCTGGAGTTCTGTGGAGCACTTTTTATGATGAATGGACGCAGTTTTTTGGGCTTCAAAATCTCGACCACCTTTTACTGCCATTATAAAGCTTGGAAGAGCCAGGACATTTTTTATATAACTCCAATTGGATTCGTCTGAAAAAAAAGAAGAAAAAAAAAAAGTCATATACACCTAGGACGCCTTGAGAGTGAGTAAATAATGTACCGTATTGACCCGAATATAAGACTTTGTTTTTTTCTTGGAAATACATCTGAAAAAACGCGGTCGTCTTATATTCAGGGTCTAGACTTTGACATGTCAATAATACACCCACAACAATAGGTGGCGCCAGCCACGCATAAAACGAGTGTGCCATGAAATACGTAATGTAATGCGTGTTGTAAAGATCGCGAGTAAAAACAAAAGAAAAAGAAAACCTTACAGCTGCACGAGTCGTGACTGTCACGTTACCCTGATGGGACCAAACTCCCTTTGTGATTTTAAAACGTAAGACAGTACCCAGATTTGAAGACTACAGTAAAATTTAACTTCTACTGTTAATAAGATTTTGGTAGGCTACTAATTAGATGGATAGCCTAAATGTCCTAATTCAGATGGGCTACCAGTTTTTTTTATTTTTTTTTATGGTATATCAAAAAGTGTATATTTTTAAAACGTGATTGTTGGTACATTTTACCAGTTTTTACCATACTTTCAAAACAAAAATTAAAATAGGAAAAATATGCAATATGAAAATAATTGAAGATAAAATGTTTTTTACTGAGAAAAAACAAGATTTGGTTTTTTTAAAGCCTTTTTCCAAAAGGTACATCTGGAAAAAGGGGGGTCGTCTTATATTCGGGCCAATACGGTACTTTTTTTTCTTTTTTTTTTCTTTTTTTGGTGAACTAACTTTAATCTGTTTAACAACTGGTTTAAAATGTTGACATTTTGCAGTTTTACACACATTTCTACCTCTAAAACATTTCATAACTTTTTAATCTAAAAATTAACTTTTTTGTGTAGACTGCCCCAAATATTTGAGGTATTTACCGTGACTATTTTAACAAGTCACAAGGCAACATGGTACCAGTCTTCAGTCTCCAAGCAGCTCTTGACCGCATTATGACCGTACTTCACCGCATTTGTCCATATCACTTCGCCAAATGATTTGTTATTTCAAAGGTCCTTACAGCCTAAAACAGCAAAATAACCAAAACCCACAACAGCACTGGCCAAACAGATAAATATAGTGAACAATAGGATCAATAAGACAGATCATTTCCATGTTTTTGCCACAAAATTACATTATTATGTACGGAATACTCTTATTTCTCCTTAAAGACGCACACATACAACACAGAAACATTTTATCAGTGAACTAGTTTAGCAACTTAAAAGCTACATGACATTTCTCACAAGCGAGGTAACAACGGCGCTGTTCTTGACGAAAATGAACAAACTTTCAGTATTAATAGAGACGTTGCTGCTGAACATTGTTGAGAGACACACGGACTCTGGTAATTCACATGCTTAATCTCTGTTTCTCTCATATAACTTAGTTATTAACTGCATTAGTCTGCTATCAATGGCTCAAGCCTCCTTTACTAGGTCTAAAATTAAATTTTGTAATTAGAAATGGAGGCATTGGATGAGATGCGTAAGAAATAATCCTACTCACAAAAGCGTTTTAAGGACAAAAACCAGATGAATGCCTTGAAATATATCATCTGATCTATGTCTTGAGGTCTGGTAACCATAGAATAAGTGGAATAATTGACTCCGGTCCATTGAATTATTAGATAATAATGCACACCCAAGGCGTAACGGCCACGACGCAAATTGCATTATTTTATAATAATTCAGCGGCCCGTCGTCAATTATTCCTTACCTAAATTTGACTAATTTAATAGAAGAAATAATTGACAGATTTAACAGTCTTCTTCCACCATAGAAATGTTGCAGGATCGATAAAATGCTCTAGAGTTTTAGTTCAAAATTAAGATGAAAATAGTTTTTAATGTCTTAAATGGGAGAACATGGGAAATGTCCAAACTTCTGACTCAGGCCATGTCCACACATACACGGGTATTTTTATAAACGGTGTTTTTCCTTCTTCCGTTTAAAAAAAATCTCCGTCCACATGAAAATGCAAACGCATGTTATGAAGCACTGTCAAGAGCATGCCAAACCAACATGTGGCGAGATAATCTCAACCGTAAAGCCAAGT